GAAGTAGATTGTTCACAAACAGATCCATACCTTTTTAGATAATTGATCATGACAAAGTTGAAGTGTTTCAGTTGAGAATGATTTAACTCTAAGGCAAACTGTACCAGCAAGTATTTATTGAATAACAAATTATCAGTTTCATTGAGAGTTTTCCATCTTTTCAAATTTGCATGCCAACTTCACTTTTCAGTGTTTGCCTCAGTCAAAAAGCATAAAATCCTTTCACCAGAGACATTCTCGTTGTGCAGTTCCCTCCTACTGATGTCTGTCTCCATTTTTTTTTTGTTGTTTTGCATTCTTTGCCTTTTATTTGCTTTGACAGAATTTGAGACATAAACACAAGAAATACTTCTCATTATTTCACAAAGTTCAGATGACAAATAATATATCATATTATCTCTTCTAATAAGATAGCATATCTTAGATGCTTTTATTTTCCTTGAAATTTTTGTATAACCACAAATAAATAGATAGCCTCCCCAGGCAAATGCTAATGATTCGTAGTGTCTTAAAGATACAGTCCCATAATTCTCTTAATATTTGTTTTCACCCTAAAACTGGAGGCATAGTGTCATCTCGTCTGAAAATATTCAGTCAGAAACTGTGCATATAGGTAATGACAAGACATGCAAATTCCATGCACAATATTTGAACATTCAAATCTGTTGGAGAATTAATGACCCTATTCTGATAATGGCTCACACTGACAATGTTTCCTATACAAAGAAGCTTTATTGTTTTCATAGTCTCCTTTTTTTTTTTTAAGCATTTTCTTTATTGCCAGCACTCCATTTCAATGCCTTCACTAAAATTAATTTAACAGAGTGGTTTTTTTGGTTTGTTTTTTTTTTTTTTTCATGATGGTGGGGGCAGCAGAATCCCAAGTCTTGAAGGGTGATTGTTAGGCACACATCCTGGGCTCAGGGACACAGTTGCCATGGCAACGCTGCAGCTCTGCCAAGGCTGTTTCTCACTGTGGGTGGGAAGAAGCTCCCCTGCCAGCAACTACGTGGGATTCTGGCAGCTGGAGAGAATACTGAAGTTATGTACTGCTTCCCCAGATGGGAGCTCTGAGAGCCTTGTTTTAAAACCGACAGGCAACTCGGGCTCTGTGGGAGAGTAGCTAATTAGAAAAGAGCCCATTTCAAGTGCAATATGTGCTAGATAAGATGCTTCTAGTTTCTTCCTTTGCATACAAGTTTTTCAGAGAGGCACGTAACACCTTACAATAAATAAGATTTAGAGGAATATCTATTTGTCAATATAGGTACTGTATCCCTGAAGAATTTTAGTGCAAAATTCAAATAGGGAGTGAAATAAATATTTTTATTTCATTTGCAGACAGTAAACTCATTTGGAAATGTGTATTAGCTCAGCATTCAGTGTGGTTTATCCTAGTACTCATAGTTTTCTAAATCGAAAGCTGTTCCTCAATAATTAACGGTTTAGTATTAAAACTCCTGACCCCTCTTTATGGTCACACAGAGCACATGCTGTTCTTGGTCCAGCTAAAAAAAGGTCAACTAAGTAGAAGCTGACTCTGAACTGGTAATCTAGTGATGAGAAATCCTGAGTGGCAGGCAGCTTTGCTGATTACTCTTAGGCTTGCCACTTGATGTATGTGTAAGATATTTTTATTGTCCTTTGTGTTTATTTATTTGTAAACTTTAGGATCCAGCAAAGATATTTTCTAATGTATGCATTGGGTATTTGGACGTTTAAGATTTCATTTTTAACTTATGGTGGTTTTGTTGAGCATATTCATCTGATTTGGAAGCTGCAGATTGTCTGCCATGAAAGTCTTCCACAATCATGTCAAATGCTTTGAGAATAGCAAAGAAGACAAATCACAGAAGAATGGGATTTGAAATCATGGACTATTAAAGGTAGCTCTTCATAGGGTGCTAATCTAATTTACTTTTTTCCTCATTATCTAAAAATAACGAGTGAGGTGGGAATTTTATAATACTGGAAGACAGAGAATAGTTCAAATTTCCTGCCACCCTGTTAATCTCCACCTAAAACTGTGCTCAATGACATTCAGATACTACACACACTGGTCTCAACCATCTGCCGATAAAATATCTTCCTACTATACCAAGTTTCAAGCTGTTCTAACCTTTTCTGCCTCCCCACATTGTGAAATGTTGTACGTGTGTTAGGGGAGAAATGTTCAGGAAATGATTTTGCTTGAACAATCAAGAGCTACAGAAGTGGGGAGGTGTTCAGATCCTGAGACCGATCCTGGGACCGATGAGATGGGCTATGATTCTCAGTAAGATGAGTGCAATTAACAATAAATATTAAAATAGCAGGCCAGCTCAGTATTTGAAAGTAACAAAGTTACTTCACGTAGGATGTTTCATATGTTGCTATCTACACATAGGTTGAACGTCACTAATCTGAATTCTAAAATGATCCAAAATCAAACTTTCATAGCACAGACATGACTCCTTGAGTAGAAAATTACACACCTGATTTCAGGTGATAGATTTCATTCAAAACACAGGAATTTTACAAACATTGTATACAGTTGCTTTAAGGATATTGATGTGAAGGTGTATAAGAGTCATAATTAAAATACATTCCAGGGGACTTGTGTTGTGGCTCAGCATGCTAAGTCACTGCCTCAAATGCTGGCATCCCATCCCACTGGGGCACCACTCTGAGTTGCAGCTCCTGCACTTCTAATCCTACTTCCCTGCTAATGAACTTGGGAAAGCAGCCAAAGTACCTGGGCCCCTGCAACCCTCGTGGGAGACCTGACTGTGTCAGCCTAGCTCTGTTCTGGTGGTTGGAACCAGTGGATGGGAGACTTCTGTCTTTCACTCCCTCTCTTTGTCACTCTGATCTTCGAATAAAATGAATAAATTATTTTCCTTAAAAAATTTTGATCTGTAAGATACCTGTTATTTGTAATTATTACAAACACAAGGGAAAAAGGAAATTTAAAACACTTCTGCCCCCAACGTTTCAGAACAGATGTATTCAAGCTGCATATGCCTTCCAGGTAAGGCACACACAGCCTTACTTTAAGTACAGTATTAACAATGAATTTGCAAATCCCATTTGTTGTTAGTGCCAGTAGTTACATAGGAGTCCTCAATATTACTAAAGGTAATTTGAACAAAACAAAAATAAGGAAAATAAAAAGGGAATCATTGGAATAAGGATTTGAGGGAATAAAGAAGGAAGACAAAAGTGTATATATGTGAAGCTGAGATCATTAGATCATTTTTGAAAGCACTGTCTGCCTATATACTTAAGTTTAGCTTTATCAACACATGGCACATAGTATTTCATCAATATGTTATTAAAAACATTATCCTTGGGACCAGTGTCATAGCCCAATGGCTAAAGTTGCACACACCAGGATCTCAAATGGGCACCGGTTCTAATGCTGGTAGCCCTGCATCTCATCCAACTCCCTGCTTGTGGCCTGGGAAAGCAGTTGAGGACAACCCAAAGCCTGGGGATCTTGCACCTGTGTGGGAGACCTGGAAGAGGCGCTGGGCTCCTGGCTTTGGCTGGGTGCAGCTCTGGTGGTTGTGGCCATTTGGGGAGTGAATTCCTCTCTGTCTCTCCTACCCTCTGCCTTTCCAATAAAAATAAAATAATCTTTTTAAAAATGACTCTGAAGAAAACATCATCCTAAAGCATTTCTACTTAATTTTTTAGAAGACACCCAACTGTCACTTTGAAAATTTTTACATACATTTTGAACATTTACAATATGCTTTTTAGATGCCTCAGGTTAAATGTTTAGACTTCCCTTAAATAATAAAGACTTAGTGAGGAAACATATGTGAAAAAAACTACTAAGTTCAAATGACTTGATATCCACATACCAGCACAATAAGAGTTAATACTAACAAGTTAAACAATTGTAGCCAATGATGGTAGCTAACAATTTTTGAATAATTATTGTCAGAGTTTTTGTTCGTTTGTTTTATGTATTGGCTCAGCTAATCCTCACAAGAATAATATGAGGGAAATTCCCCCTCCTACTTAGCTTTTTACAGATGGTAAGATGAAAGAATAACTGCTGACCCCATGATGTATTCAAAATTCTCTCCAGCTGCCCTGTTTTACATTGTGTCAGTTTCGTAGGTGTTTAAAACTTGATCCACAGCAAAAAATAGATTTTCCATTGTAAGTCACTGCACAAACAGTATTGTAAGTATCTAAATTCAAAAATAAGTTTACTGTTTGCAGTGCATTCAATCATCATCTGTCATATTTGGCCATATGCTATGGCCAAAAATCACTAATTGTGTTTACCATGCACTAAGTGGTTTCACATCACTGTTAGAAAAATCCAGCATGGGGTGTTAAAAAAAGCAAATGTTGAAATAAAATGTAGACACGTGAAAATTGAAAGCAGTAAACTCAAGATAAAATGATATACAGTATATGTTTGGTAAAGAGAATCATGGGAAGTCTTGGTTGAAGAACTTCGGTGGGTTTAGGGGTGGAAGAGGAAATTGGGAGTGGTCGCAAACATTGTTCTATTTCAGAAGGATGGGTTTATAATTAAGGGGCTTGGTCGTTATAGTTTTTTAGACACTCTAGCACTTGATTGAGATGGTTGGCCTGGTATCATTTACCAGAAAAATTATAGCTTCCCAGAATTTTGTAGTTGAAGAAAATATCTTTAAACATTTTCAAGGCATGCGTTTCAGGAGGGTGCTGCAGCACAGAGGGTTAAATCATTATGTAGTATGCTTGCGTCTTGCTACTCTGCTTCCAATGCTGTTTACTGCTACTGCTGCTGCATCTTGGGTACCTGCTTATCCCCCAGTCAATACTGGGATGAGGTTCCAAGCTTTGACCTCAGCTTGGTGAAGCCCCAGATATCCAGGCATTTGGGGAGTGAGCCAGTGGGTAAACAACAAATCTCTACCTCTCTGTTTGCCTTTTAGGTAAATTGAGATAAATAAACTTTTTTTTCTTAAGGACTAAAACACAAATATTTCACATGTTCTTGTTGGTCTTTGCAGGGTGCTTTGAGTGCTGTATTAAATGCCTGGGAGGCATTCCGTATGCCTCTCTGATTGCCACCATCCTGCTCTATGCCGGCGTGGCCCTGTTCTGTGGCTGTGGACATGAAGCGCTTTCTGGAACTGTCAACATTCTGCAAACCTATTTTGAGATGGCAAGAACTGCTGGAGACACTCTGGATGTATTTACCATGTAAGTTATTTTACTACTGCATCTTATTCAGGTGATATGTGTTCACATTGCTATGTATTGAAGAAATAAACACATAGAGATTAGAGAGGTGATGTTGTATATGAATAAAATATACTCAGGCTATGCAAGTTTCCAAAGAGTGCTGAGTTTTTGATCAATAAAAGGCACTTGGAATGGAACCAGTCTGGCTGAAGTCTGGTTAGTAAGATTTTATCTGAAATTCAATTACCATTAAGTGAAAGACTTGCAATTCTCTTTGCTTTCTAATTTGAGCAGAAGCCTTTGTAATAGAATATAACAGACAAGAGAACAGACTCTGGTAACTGTGGCCTCTGCTGCTAATTCAATGGAAATCAATCGAAACCTCATGGGTGCTCCCACTCTCTAACAAAATTAATTCATTCGTGTATTTGATATAATCTTATTGTCCCCATCTATCAGCAAGGATCAACATTGAAAAAAGGTTGAATCATGAGAAGTTGAGCAGCTTTCTACAAATAATTATGTGTTTTTCTTCACCTTTCCCTCAACACTGCTGCCACCATCCACGCAAGCTCCTGGTATCACTAAGTCATCATGATGGTGATGTAAAAATATGTGTTAGGAAGATGACTCAAAGAATCTGAAAGTGGATGTCTGCCCATGAAGATACAGTCTATTATTCTTTAATACTGCATAGATTGTGTTTTGGATTTTATCAACAGGTTTTTTTGGTTTTTTTTTTTTTTGTTTTTCTCAAATACATTATTAAATCAAGATAATCAGTTTTTCAATTTTATATTCACGGAAAGAAAATAGTTTACTATGGTATATATGTTGCCATCCCAGCTAATATCTGTCTGAAAAATTCTTGGGTTTTCTTACATTTAAAATTCTTTTATTTCATGATGCTTGACACTGTGTGTTTTTCATGTTGTTCATATCCTTTATTTTGTCACTCTGAATAAATTTAAAAATTCTTAGCATACACTTTTCCTGGAATAAGATAATTTTAGATTTAAAATTCTTAGTTATTATTTGGATGGTCTTGTTGTTTTGATTTTCACACATCATTCTATCAAATAAAGTGTATTATAAACTTTTAAACCCTGATGCTAGACAAGACTTGTTCAAAATGGACATTTTCTAGGAAGGAGACAATTGGCCTCTAAGTAGAATATCAAAAATCTATGACATTGCTACATTGGTTTACAGCTCATCAACTAGTTATGAGCAGATCTGCATGAGTAGGGTATTCTTAATTTTTTTAAATGTGTGAGTGTTGTAAAAGTTAAAAAGTATATACATGTCTATGAAGTAATACAGTAAGTATTCTACACTTTTACAGAAAGAGGGCGCACACCTCTGAACAGACAACCTAGCCAAAATGTAGGGCAATGATACTTGGAATATCTACCTAACATATATTGTCAGCTAGGTATCTGAAAAATGTTTACACTTAAATACTGGAAAATACTTACCAAAAAGTAATATACATAATGAAGAAAGTGGTGTCAGACAAGGAAAATTCATTCCATGCTCCCACAGAATTAATGATTAAAGAGGAGTGATTCATTAACTGCTCACTTAAGAATTCAGATTATTGAGGCTGATATGGTGGCATAGTAGGTTAATCCTTTGCCTATGGTTCTGGCATCCCATAAGGAGCAGTGGTTCACTCCCTGGCTACTGTACTTCCCGTCCAGCTCCCTGCTTTTGGCCTCGGGAAACAGTGGAGGACGGTGCAGGTGCTTGAGTACATGAATTCACATGGGAGACCAGAGCAAACTCCTAGCTCATGGCTTTGGATCAGCTCAGTTCCAGCCATGTTGGCCGTTTGGGGGGTGAACCAGCAGGTGACAATCGCTCTCTCTCTCTTTCTCCCTCTCTCTCTCTCCTGCTCTCTATAAATCTGCCTCTCCAATAAAAATAAATATATTTATATTATTAAAAATGAAATTACTTTAACAATGTAATTGCCCTATTTCTGAAGTATCATGTTTTAAGTTCACCAGTATTAATGATAAATGGAAATAAAGAATTAAAATTTTTATTTTTCGTTGTCACAATATTTTTCAGATTAATTCTTGAAAATTAGACTTATCCTTTAATCTTTTAAGTCTGAGATAGATTGAGTTTCAGTTAAATGTCATGCAAACCTATATGTTATCTTCCAACTGGGATGCTATGAATTCCTTAGATTGGAATAGCATGAATCAATTATTGACCATTTATAAATGATACTCATTATTTGGTATATAATCAAGGTTTTTGAAATTGGATTATTGTAGCTTAGTATGTAAGAATCTTAAGAAGATGATTGCCTGGATATATTTAATGTGGTAAAACTGACATTTTCCTTTTAGTTATACTTCAGCCTACTCTGGACACAATATGTTCTCACTGTGCATTATTTTAAGCTACTGCAGATGTCCGTAAAATCTACAGCTTGTCTATATTTAATGTACATTCGAATTGCTAACTTTAGTTAGAGAGTGACAAATTTGTAGGAAACTAAAACCTAATAAAATGCCATTGACATAAACTTTGATCAGTAGAATCAGTTCAGATGTCTATGTAATATCTAGGCAGAAAATGTTAATACTTCTTAGATTGCTACTAATGCTTTTATGATGGTGTTTGTCCAGCAGTTTAGAAAAAAAGATGAAATCTTATATTTTATTTTGGTATTTTTTTCTTTGGTTCAATATGAAGTGAAATATAAAATCAGTAATGCATTTTTGGAATGAGAAAAACACCAAATTGGTTGAAATAAAAGTAAATGTTTAAGTTATCTCTTTGCGTCTTCCAAAAATGAAAATTCCTTGTATAGTTCCTGTGAAATGGTCAAGTGGACTTACACTCTCTCCCTGCCAATAAACAGGTCATAAAAACTGAGAGCGAAGACGTACTAATAAACTTCACAGCACAATTAGTTTTCATTGATAAATTTTAAAATTACATCAATGTTTAGAGAAAGTTAAGATTGCCTTGTGCAAAACTAACCTATGGGAATATCAGAACAATGGGGCAGGGAATGAAGTGAAAAAGATTAAATAAAAACATATAAAGTAGTGAAAAGTAAGTAATATACCTATAGGTATTACAGCTTACTTAGAAATAAATTTAAAGAAGTTTGAAAATTAATGTGGAGAAAAGCCATGTTGTGTGTTTTCAGTTATATATAAAGATTCTTGTTTTTTCCCTCTATAGTTCCCATTCTTAACTCAACCAGATGGAGCACTTGTACATTGTAAGAAGTCACTGAATGTGCAAACCAAGAGATGAAATTAATTGCTCAAGCGCCATGTCTCCCACGTGTGAACCTCAGGATCTGAGGAGTTACTCCTTTCTTTTTCTCAGGAACCCCCTAGCTCCTTCATTCCCATTTCCTCCCATTCCATTCTTTCTCTTCTCATCCCAATTTCTCTGCTCCTGTTAATTATAATCACTGACTGTGTTGGGATACACATTCAGCATCTCCAAGTCTAATGATAGCCATACGATACCAAACGTGTTGAAATATAATTGTGTTCCATTAATTGTGGCTAGCATGGAAAGTGCATTTATTATAAGGAAGTTCATGGTTGGTCTCATTCTTCAGTAATTCGCATTTCAGACATGCAATTCGAGATTTCATCAACCCCTAGCAATGTGGGGGATGTGATCTTCAGAAATCAAGGTCCCACAATCTCAAATCATATTCTCCTCTAAATTGATTTACCGTAATCCGTTATGATGTGATGACCTCCAAAACAAGAGAGTAAAGAGAAAATTCCTCAAAAAAATTGGCCCGCCATCATAATTTTTAGTATTTATGTGTCTGTCTTTACTTATTTTCCCAGATTTGCATCCCTTAATCATTCAGTTCAGGACTTCAAGTGTTGTTCATTCATTGCCTCAAAACTGTTGTGTTTTACACTCTAATTGCAACTTTTTTTTTTGATTATCAGCACAGACATTAAAGCCCACCCAACACTGAAAACTACTTAGTGCCCTGCCACTTCCCACTATGTTATGAGGAGAAAAATTTTATGATTTGCTATTCAGATTTTCCTGAGTAATTTTGGTACTGCTATGCTCCAAAGGTTTGTTTGAAATAGTGAGCAAGCATTATGTCAGCTATTTTGCTCCTGCCAAGCAGATTCATGAAGGACAATGAAATAGAGACACTGGTTAGAAAATTAGATGCCAAAAGATGATACAAACTACCAATTTCACTATATGAGTATATCATGAATAATTCTTGTGAGGATTGGATAGTGAAAAGCAGTACCCAGAAATATACTCCATGTAATTTAGTAAGATTATATTTGTGTTTTATGTAACTATATACATTTACAAAATATGATGTCATGGATTTTTGTGTGTTTCTTCCTATTTGCTCACATCTTTTCTTGAGTCTTACCTTCAGCACCTTGCTTAATCTCTTCATTAGTAAAAGGTACACACTAACTTCAATTGCTTCCTAAGTTTTTTCTTTATTTATTAAATATTTATTTATTTTTATTGGAAAGGCAGATTTTTATAGAGAGAGGGAAAGACAAAGATCTTCCATCTGCTGATTTATTCCCCCAAAGACTGCAATGGCCCGAGCTGAGCCAATTTGAAGCTAGGTCCCAGGAACTTCCTCCTGGTCTCCCACACGGGTATAGCATCACAAGACTTTGGGCCATTCTCCACTGTTTTTCCAGACCATAGGCAGGGAGTTGAATGGGAAGTAGAGCAACCGGCACACAAACTGGCATCCATATGGGATCCTAGTGCTTGAAAGGAGAGGATTAGTCAACTGCGCCATCATGCTGGGCCATAAAGTTTTTATGTGGATAAGTTATTTGATAATTTTAGATGGTTACAGATTAGAATGTAGTAACTATTGACTATAAGGACTTTATTAAATGTGTTTACTATAATTGACTATTGATATAACAACAATTGACTATTGTGTGACAGAAATGACAATTATGTGGAGGATACTTATGATCCTGATGTCTTCTATGAAGTTATGTCACAAACTTAAT